ATGTGTGAAGCCCATTTCTGGTGTCCCCCGCCGAGATGTTCCTGGAATATTGCTAAAAGCGGCGTAAAACCAAACTCAGTCAGTCAGTCTAGCCCCTCGCCTGGCTGTTCTGTTAGCTGTACTCACTCCTCTGTCAGTCGACAAGTAACTTGGACGGATTATTTGTTGTTGTCGACATTAATGGTAATGGTGTCTATTAGGCCCTATAGTTGGCGGGGCGAGTTTTACTTGTATGCATTTGTGCAAATCTATCCTGTATCGCTAGACACTAGAATAAAAAAAAAAATTCTTCTTCTTCTCCCGGAGAGCGGAAAGTCGCGGGTTCCATTCCCGGCCGCGTCATACCAAAAGACGTTAAAATATGGTACTTGTTGATTACTGTCTGGCGCTCGGCATTAATGGTCGTCTCGGAGTCGGAGTATAATGTGTCTGATAATAAACAATGTCTGTCTGTTACGAACGCTTTGTGGATCGGCACGCATGATCTTGTGTTGTTCAATGACAAGAGGCAGTTGTTTATGTCTTTGAGCAGTATACAATGGACATTCAAGGAAGTAATGAAAAACATTCTCACATCCATGGCCACATTCACATGTTGCGTCATATTTTAAATATAGATTCTAAATAAATTGTAAGTAAGTGCACTCGTCATATATACTGAGTCAAAAAAGAAACTTCACAAAATGTAATTTGAAAAATAATGAATAATTTTTCTCTGATGATACATCTATGTATCCGAAATGGGATCCCTATCTTTCGACTCTAGAAAAACGTAAGCAAAACCCACTCAAACCCATCCATTTGTCGTGCAAATGACGTTAGTGCCAAATCAGGTTTTGCACGTGCAGTCGATCACGTGATCTTCGCATCGAAGTTTTCTTCATAAGCACGTGTTTGCATTGGCCTCAAGAATTGAAAAAACACTTTTAAACCACAGTTCAAACGGTACTTGAATGCCACGATTGTCAAATGTGCAACGTGAACGTGCCGTTGGCGTGTTGCAAGCGGGAAGATCAGTTATTGACGTCGCAAGAGCAATTGGAAGCAGCCGTCGTACTGTGTATGACTTGCGAGGTCGTCTACAACAAACTGGCACCACTTCTGATCGCCCAAGGTCGGGTCGTCCGTGTGACGTCACGAGCAGAAGACCGTCAAATCGTCCTACGTCACCTACGTGACAGATTTCTGCCGGCTACACGAACCAGGGCTGAGATGTTTAGAGGTCGACTGTCCTCACAGACCATTCGAAATCGGTTGCGGGCTGCCAATCTCCATTCTCGACGTCCATATCGTGGGCCAATTTTGACGCCGTTTCATCAACGTCAACGTCTGCTGTGGGCCCAACGTCACCTCCGATGGACCCAGAGAGACTGGAATCGAGTCGTCTTTAGCGATGAATCCAGGTTTACCCTCAGATTCGCGGACGGCAGGCATAGAGTCTGGAGACGACGTCGTGAACGGTATGCCCAATGTTGTGTACAGGAAGTCGACAGATTCTGGGGCGGAAGTTGCATGGTGTGGGGTGCTTTCTGTGGGGAACAACCGTTCCCGACTTCTGGTCATCCGTGGAAACCTCACAGCTGCTGCTTACCGCGACCAGGTGCTCACCCCTGAACTCGTTCCTTTCATGGCGGCTCATGGCCCAGGTCTACAGTTCCAGCATGATAATGCTCGGCCGCATACCGCGATGTTGACACGAAATTTCCTTCAAAACGCTGGAATCAACGTCATGGACTGGCCATCGAGGTCCCCTGACCTTAATTAATCCAATAGAGCACGTTTGGGATGCACTTGGGAGAAGGCATCGTGGTCTTAGGAACCAACCTCAGAATTTGCAGGAACTTGGCGCTGCCTTGCAAGAGCAATGGCGCAGAATCCCCAACCACGTGTTCACAAGCATCAGGCAGTCGATGAGGAGACGGTGTTTGGCAGTGGTGAATGCGCGGGGCGGCCATACACGATATTGAACTGAGAAATTTCGCATTTTTATTCTTGTGACTTGACATTCTGTATACCCATGTTTTGGAACGGCGGTGTAGCCTAATGGAACTGATTATGACACTGTCAGTGTATCGAGTACATCACACAGATCTCAGCAATGAAATAATAACAATTAAACCATCTTACCATCTCTTGTTCTTTTATAGTGCCCTGAAGAAAGAATGTGAAGTTTCTTTTTTGACTCAGTATCTATCTTAATATTGTGTGCAAAAAATATAACTTCTTTATTCCATATGAATAATATTTAGGTTCACATTTGTCTTTATTTGATTTATATGATACAACAGTGTCGCAATTTCTAATAGCTAAGCTAATGTTTTCAATATGACGATGCCGACTCCCGTTAGACTAGAAGGTTAAACCGAAATGTTTATGAAAATAAACTGTTTTATATTGCAGCAATAAAAATTCAAATTACTCTTTTCGTTAATCTTTCAAAATAAATAATATAGCTTCAGTTTGTTCCTGTGTTTATATTTGGACTATTCCATTATAATGTGTAGGTAACAGGTAGTAGATTATCTGTTCACTGAACCGTAAATGTTGTTGTTTTAAGGTGTCTGCGAACTGGCTGTCTGCGTAATGGGATGACACCACCGTTAGCCTGCATACATATGCATGTCCAACCAACTGTAACACGTGAGCGTAGCGAGGATATACAATCTATATTTATGGATACAGTATTGTTCACACTCTGACGAGAGGAGCAAACAGCGCAGTTTGATGTAGGCTGGATTCACACAAATATTGTATATTCAGTTCGACGCATAATGTGCTGACTGATCTTGCCAGACCCCAAAATTGCTTTAACAGTGAATGTGGCCTAATACCTAGGTCGGGACAAGTACATATGTTCCAACTAAAACGTTTAAAACTTTACGGTAGACGCAACATGACATACATGTTGCCTAACAGGAAGCATGGATGCATAAATGAATGCAAATACGACGTTGTTTCTGTCAACGACCATTCACAGCAATCTGTATGCGATGAACAAAAAGCTAAGCGACAAACACATGTTATGGCGTTACTGCCCGGAGTCTAATTTCCGTCCGGACAATAGCATACTGTGGCAGTGTAAAAACTGTTATAGAAACAGCCTGTACCTCTATTATGTTTCTAGACATTAGCAAATTCCTGTCCTATTTCGTCATACTCAGTACACACATTTGACATGTAGCACACACCCGCAATGAGGGTTATGGTGGTTGAACCTCCGCCTCACTTAGTGTACTCATATTAAGGGCTGATGCAACTGCTAATGTGCCCGCGTCATGTATTTGTATTCACGAATACACGCGTCTTGATCTTTTCCCCGACGAACATATTTGTTGTGCTTTGTAAATAGAAACATGCTATTTTGAACTATCTCGGCGTCACGGATAACCTCAAGTATATGTTTCCCTAAGTCATTTGCATGTAAACCTGATATAACCTGTCTGTATGGTAGAAGTCCACATGTAGAATATAGAATTATTTACAGTTCACAAAGATTTAGTAGTTAACACTTCTCACTGAAACCTACAATAAACGAAAAAACGGAAACCAGGTTGAAACCTACAATAAACGAAAACACGGAAACCAGCTGGATCCGGCTTGGAGGAGTTGGTAATGAATCGCACTAGAAACCAACCGGAAATGGTGCAAAATTCAGTTTCAGTTTTCATGGAAACCACAATGAAACTTTTGGAAACCACACGGAAACCAACTGGAAATGGTGGTTTCCATGTCTTTTTCTTTGATGGTAACAAATATTGGACAGTGGTCACTACATATAGGATCCAAGACTCCAGACTCTAGGATATCGCCATTACTAGAAACAAAAATGAGATCAATTAAAGTGCTAGATGTTTGGGTTATCCTAGTAGGATCGTTGATAATTTGAGAAAGTCCATACAAAAGTTGCAGTTGATCACATTTAAGTCTACCGTCTTTCAATATATTCATATTGAAGTCACCTACTACAATTGTATTCAGACTTAAGTCAACAGCATCGCTTATTGCTTGATTGATCATGTCCCTGATATGTTTGGTTCACTTGTAGAAATTGCGAAAGAGGATTAACGTCTTTACTAGGCTGTCTTTCGGATAAAGTAAATAAGAATGAAATAAATGTGTTGACTACAACATGTCAGTAATGAAATCCTACCGATTTCTATGGCGGTAAGATAGCGTAATTGTATTTACCTCGCAAGTGTGCATCTATTGGTAGTAGATACAAAAATACTGGCGTGTATATAACTGCAAGTTTCACCCCCCGTTGTATCTTTCCGACTGTTGATTGTGTATATTTTTTACCATAAGATTTCCCAATAAAATGTTTCTCACAAATACTTTTACTTCAAGTCCAGATGAAGTCTGTCCACATTAAACCTTTGTTTTCTTAGTTATTGATGAGTCTGACCAGATAAACAGATGATAGTAAATGAACCTTAGTCCCACGGCGAAAGCATGACTATATTGTATTTTCTGTTCGCCTTTGCCTCTTGTCTCCTACTCGCTCCTAAGAGGGGTCACCGTGACACAGCTGAGAACTGTACATGGATACCGGTCTGGGTGGGGATGTAGTATGTCTTGTGTTACGCGTAACTTGACACTGGGATTGGGGGTAGGCAGGTTAACTGACCCCAGCACGTGTCTCCATTGTTGTACCATCGCCATTTTGTAGTTGTTTTGGATGTTTTGTTATCACACAATTCAAGGACCTGTAGTACATACATTTGTAGACTTGTACATTTAGTGGACTGCGACCTAACTTCTTTACCTGACTTTTACCAAGATGACTACGTATGTGACACAACGCTAAATATGATGGGTGCATTTGCATGAAACATTACAAAATATTGCGATCAAATATTGCGAAAGGACATTTACGCGTTTCTCATTTAAGTTGTTCAATGTCATACAATGTATTGCAGCTACAATGGCGTAATGCCAAGTGTTACAGAGCGCATGCGTATATAATATGCGTAGTTTACAAAGAGGGCACAGATACCTACAATTGTAATCCCGAGGGGTACGGCGACGGCTAGTCCCAGCACAATGTTTGCGGCGTACAGGAACGTCTGTACGAGAAGCTGAACGTCTAAGGTTATCCACGCCATTCCAGGAGGTACAGATGTTCAGGTGTACGTACAGGTGGAACTCTTCTTTGTGGAGGAAAACAGTAAACAGCTTTCTGGGTCAAGGGCGATTCGCTTCCTGGTTGCTTTGCCTGTTGAAGCATGACTCTTTACTGGCTTACTGTAATACCTGCAGGCAAAAAGAGAACACCCCAATTATAAAGGAAATCAAGTTCTATGGATAGTCATCTTCTTTATTGCAATGAGTGCGACGTTTCGGTGTAGGTACTAACACAATTATCAAGCACACGTTTCGGTGTAGGTACTAACACCGTTATCAAGCATCACTTGCTTTATAACGGTGTTAGTACCTACACCGAAACGTCGCACTCGTTGCAATAAAGAAGTTGACTATCCATAGCACTTGATTTTGCTTCATCTATACTTCCAAAATGCCTCTCAAAGAAGTTAACCCCCAATTATAGCCTGTTCGAGTAAGTGGAGTTCACTCACCGACCACACAGAACACAGTTCATAATCATTATAGTGAACTCAGTCATTGAAAGTAATCAAATATGACATGAGGCATTGGGGTAATAAAAACAGCAATTTAGTTTACGACAAGTCATTCTACAATGGCAGAGGCACGTGTTCAATTTGTTCCCAGAGAATAGTACTCAATGGTTTTATAACTATAGAGATTAGTACTCAATGGTTTTATAACTATAGAGATTAGTACTCAATGGTTTTATAACTATAGAGATTAGTACTCAATGGTTTTATAACTATAGAGATTAGTACTCAATGGTTTTATAACTAATGGTTTTATAACTATAGAGATTAGTACTCAATGGTTTTATAACTATAGAGATTAGTACTCAATGGTTTTATAACTATAGAGATTAGTACTCAATGGTTTTATAACTATAGAGATTAGTACTCAATGGTTTTATAACTATAGAGATTAGTACTCAATGGTTTTAATAACCATTGAATGCTAATCTCTGGGAACAAATTTAATGTTGATGTTTAGAGTGAAATCAAGAAGAAATCAAACTGTCCTCTGCAGATGTTGTACGACAGGTTGTCCTGCAACCATAAAAACTGCCAACAGCCTTGTTAGAACATACAGGAACATCAACAATCATGTAGCAGACGATGCCAAGCTCAAGATGGACTTATTCTCGTGAAAGTAGACCACAGACCAGTGCCGACTTCCGTTTATCCGACAATCGGCTTTATCCCATGCTTTTGTTGGTAACAAATTGAATAAACGTAATTTAGTCTCGTTAATCCGATAGTCCCGGTCCGCCTTCCAACTCCGACATATGTAGGTAAAAAGATGTATTTTTTCAACCTTCCTGACAACTATAAGCAGACAACAACCGGAGACAGCTTCCTTCTTCACTCTGAAGACAACAACAATTTGATTATTTTCTCTACTGCCGATAACCTTCGTCCCCTTGCTGCAGCTGAAACATACTTTTGTGATGGTACATTCAGCATGTGTCCAGATCTGTTCTATCATATTTATACGATACATGCTTTTCTCCATGGCAAAATGTTTCCACTGGTGTATGCCTTTCTCCCTTACAAGAAACAGGCAACAAACATCAGATTGTTCCAGGTCATCACAGAGGAAGCCCAATTGCTCAATATCCGAGTCCAGCCAGCAGCAATATACATGGAGGTAGCTGGTCACAATGGTGAACGGACATCCTTTCAGTGCCAAATGAAAGGCTGTATGGTCCATTTCAGACAAGCTGTCTGGAATGGTGCTCAACGTTATGGACTTCAGACAACCTTCCACAACGACCCCGACGTGGAGCAGTTTGTGCGGAGTGCTGCAATTATATGCAATAAACATAACATAATAAACTTTACCGCTTCTCCTTATTTGCTGGCAAACTTTCATTTCTAATACAATCTATAGTCTTAATCCCCATTGTTCTAAGGATTACTTCGGTCCACTGATTTTAATCCTAAACCATGCCTGCAGGCAAAAAGAGAACAACGCCTGTAATTGTATATACATGTAGGCTGTCATCTACTGGATCACTGTAATTGTAGTACATACATGTAGGCTGTCATCTACTGGATTACTGTAATTGTACATACATGTAGGCTGTCCTCTACTGGATTACTGTAATTGTACATACATGTAGGCTGTCATCTACTGGATTACTGTAATTGTACATACATGTAGGCTGTCCTCTACTGGATAACTGTAATTGTACATACATGTAGGCTGTCATCTACTGGATTACTGTAATTGTACATACATGTAGGCTGTCATCTACTGGATTACTGATCACTGTAATTGTACATACATGTAGGCTGTCCTCTACTGGATTACTGTAATTGTACATACATGTAGGCTGTCATCTACTGGATTACTGTAATTGTACATACATGTAGGCTGTCATCTACTGGATTACTGTAATTGTACATACATGTAGGCTGTCATCTACTGGATTACTGTAATTGTACATACATGTAGGCTGTCATCTACTGTATTACTGTAATTGTACATACATGTAGGCTGTCATCTACTGGATTACTGTAATTGTACATACATGTAGGCTGTCATCTACTGTATTACTGTAATTGTACATACATGTAGTCATCTACTGGATTACTGTAATGTAGTAGGCTGTCATCTACTGGATTACTGTAATTGTACATACATGTAGGCTGTCATCTACTGGATTACTGTAATTGTACATACATGTAGGCTGTCATCTACTGGATTACTGTAATTGTACATACATGTAGGCTGTCCTCTACTGGATTACTGTAATTGTACATACATGTAGGCTGTCATCTACTGGATTACTGTAATTGTACATACATGTAGGCTGTCATCTACTGGATTACTGTAATTGTACATACATGTAGGCTGTCATCTACTGGATTACTGTAATTGTACATACATGTAGGCTGTCATCTACTGGATTACTGTAATTGTACATACATGTAGGCTGTCATCTACTGTATTACTGTAATTGTACATACATGTAGGCTGTCATCTACTGTATTACTGTAATTGTACATACATGTAGGCTGTCATCTACTGGATTACTGTAGTTATTGTACATTGTACATACATGTACATACTGTCATCTACTGGATTACTGTTATTGTACATACATGTAGGCTGTCATCTACTGGATTACTGTAATTGTACATACATGTAGGCTGTCATCTACTGTATTACTGTAATTGTACATACATGTAGGCTGTCATCTACTGGATTACTGTAATTGTACATACATGTAGGCTGTCATCTACTGGAGTACTGTAATTGTACATACATACATGTAGGCTGTCATCTACTGGATTACTGTTATTGTACATACATGTAGGCTGTCATCTACTGGAGTACTGTAATTGTACATACATGTAGGCTGTCATCTACTGTATTACTGTAATTGTACATACATGTAGGCTGTCATCTACTGGATTACTGTAATTGTACATACATACATGTAGGCTGTCATCTACTGGATTACTGTAATTGTACATACATGTAGGCTGTCATCTACTGGATTACTGTAATTGTACATACATGTAGGCTGTCATCTACTGGATTACTGTAATTGTAATTGTGTACATACATGTAGGCTGTCCTCTACTGGATGTAATTGTACATACATGTAGGCTGTCATCTACTGGATTACTGTAATTGTACATACATGTAGGCTGTCATCTACTGGATTACTGTAATTGTACATACATGTAGGCTGTCATCTACTGGATTACTGTAATTGTACATACATGTAGGCTGTCATCTACTGGATTACTGTAATTGTACATACATGTAGGCTGTCATCTACTGGATTACTGTAATTGTACATACATGTAGGCTGTCATCTACTGGATTACTGTAATTGTACATACATGTAGGCTGTCATCTACTGTATTACTGTAATTGTACATACATGTAGGCTGTCATCTCTACTGTATTACTGTAATTGTACATACATGTAGGCTGTCATCTACTGTATTACTGTAATTGTACATACATGTAGGCTGTCATCTACTGTCATTACTGTAATTGTACATACATGTAGGCTGTCATCTACTGGATTACTGTAATTGTACATACATGTAGGCTGTCATCTACTGGATTACTGTAATTGTACATACATGTAGGCTGTCATCTACTGTATTACTGTAATTGTACATACATGTAGGCTGTCATCTACTGGATTACTGTAATTGTACATACATGTAGGCTGTCATCTACTGTATTACTGTAATTGTACATACATGTAGGCTGTCATCTACTGGATTACTGTAATTGTACATACATGTAGGCTGTCATCTACTGGATTACTGTAATTGTACATACATGTAGGCTGTCATCTACTGGATTACTGTAATTGTACATACATGTAGGCTGTCATCTACTGGATTACTGTAATTGTACATACATGTAGGCTGTCATCTACTGGATTACTGTAATTGTACATACATGTAGGCTGTCATCTACTGTATTACTGTAATTGTACATACATGTAGGCTGTCATCTACTGATTTACTGTTATTGTACATACATGTAGGCTGTCATCTACTGGATTACTGTAATTGTACATACATGTAGGCTGTCATCTACTGTATTACTGTAATTGTACATACATGTAGGCTGTCCTCTACTGGATTACTGTAATTGTACATACATGTAGGCTGTCCTCTACTGGATTACTGTAATTGTACATACATGTAGGCTGTCATCTACTGGATTACTGTAATTGTACATACATGTAGGCTGTCATCTACTGTATTACTGTAATTGTACATACATGTAGGCTGTCATCTACTGGATTACTGTAATTGTACATACATGTAGGCTGTCATCTACTGTATTACTGTAATTGTACATACATGTAGGCTGTCATCTACTGTATTACTGTAATTGTACATACATGTAGGCTGTCATCTACTGGATTACTGTAATTGTACATACATGTAGGCTGTCATCTACTGATTTACTGTAATTGTACATACATGTAGGCTGTCATCTACTGGATTACTGTAATTGTACATACATGTAGGCTGTCATCTACTGGTAATTGTACATGTAATGTCATCTACTGTACTGTAATACATACATGTAGGCTGTCATCTACTGTATTACTGTAATTGTA